AAAAAAAATTAGTATAAACTTAAGTTCAAGGACAAAGGTTTATATGGGTGTCTAAGTAGATGCCTGTTTAATTTGAAATTAGTCTGAAAAGTCAGGTGGCTCAAGCAGTAAGTCAAATGATGAAACTAGACTTGGGGAGTTTAATAACTGAAATAGGCAATTAAAAGCTTTGAAAATACTCACTATGTTTGATACAAAATGCAAAAAGATATAAATGCAAATATATATGCAGGTATAAAAAGGCACATCATGTCCTTTTTGATAAGAATATTTTAAATGTCATTTTGGAAAACTTAGTTGTGCCGGTGAAGCAGCACAGCTAATTATTTAATGTTTGTTTTTTATTTTACCAGAGTTTACCAGAGGTACCCAAACTTTTGCATGCTGCTTTAAGTGTAAAAATATTGGAATGAATGAAATTTATGTATTTATTTTTATTTAACAAATTAATGGAATTTAATATAATGACACTACAAAAGATATTCTGATGTTATATATGCAGTTGTATGCAAAAGTTTGGGCGCCCATGGTCAAATTTCAAGTTTATGCAAGTGTAAATAAGTTAACACATCCTCTACAGAGACACCCATCTGCACAACTGACAATTAATGTTTGCTGAATTAAAAATATTGGGGAACAAATGTGCAAAAATGATGGCATATTTTACATCTTATGTTTCCTTTGTTCCCAATGTGTTAAACAAAGCGAATTAATAGAAATTGTGTACTAAAATGTCTATATATCTATAGAAAGAAAAATACAAAAAATAACTAACAGCATACGTTAAAGCCATTTGTCAACAGTCCAGAGCCTGTTAGTCTCGGTTTTTAGATCTGTAGTTGATTGATAGACAGCAGCTTCGCACCAGTGATCCTCTCCTGACCAAATGGGCCAAAAGCAGTTTCACCCTCTGTTTGAGATCTTGCACAATTACGGTTCAAAAGAATTGGAACTGCTATTGATCTGTTCATGGCTGGGTGGATGATGGAGCTCTTGTGGAATCTACAATCATCTCTAAAGATCATTGAGCTCCAAACTGTTAAAGCTGTATCAGGTCACAAACTGTCTGTATTTCATAGGAGTACTGAAGACCCTAACATAGATTGATGTTGTGTCATCACTTTTGTCTGGTATTGTCTGCAACTGTTACATGTTGCATCACTGTTTGAAGTCCATGAGTAAACAGTAGTGTTGGATTTACGGTAAGAGTTGGAGTGTGTGTGTGTGGGGGGGGTGAGGGTGAGTAGAGGTGGGCATTGGGGTTAAGAATGGGTTAACATTTAAAGGATTCCATTTGATCAGTTTCTCCACTCCAGCCTGTCTCCTGCTGAGAGCTCCCTGCATGAAAGTAGCATTATTTCATTATACAGCAACTAACACTTAAAATACATTACATTGAAGCTACATTTATTTTAATAACGTTGTATATTTTTCCCAAAATGTAATTAACTATTTGAGAAGTTAAGGTCAGTGGTGGATCTAGATCTTTTTATTTGATATCTTAAACTTCTGAACTGAATGACACAGTAAATAACGTTATAACTTGAACCAAAAGTGAAATACAAAAAATAAGAGGCTTAGTATATTACCATTGTCCAACAAAAGCAAAACAGCTATCTCCATTTTTTTTCGATTTTTATCTTTCTGTATCGTTCAATCTGCTGTGTTTTACATTCTTTCAAAATTTCATCATGACTGGATCAACAGAAATGGTATAACATTTCATTCCATTGACTTACATTTAAAGTAAAGAATATGTTTGTCTTCTTCAGTAAAACTACCAATTTGGAGATTGAGAGTTCAAATAAGCTCAATCTCTGCTGTTTTACATCGAGAAGAGCTTTGATTAGAAAACCATATCATCACGTTCTTATTTTTGTGAAGGGTGTTCTCTCTGTCCAGGAGATAAAATGTGTGGAAAGATCTCTTGCTGTTTCCTGGTTTCCCTCCTGCTGACGGTGTCCTTGGCGGCCCGACATGGTCATGAAGATCATTCAGCAGATCACCATCAACATCTTCACCGTGGCAAAGATGAACCTCACCCCAGCCATGATGGAGATGGGGATTTGTCCCACAGACTCGCCCCCCACAATGCTGACTTTGCCTTCTCTGTCTACAAGAAGATGACCTAAGGCAAGAACATCTTCTGCAAAACTTCGGCAAAACTTCGATGATGATTCTTTACCTGATGAGGAAAATTTGCATGAGTTCAAGAAGAACATTAACAACGATCATCTCAAGTACTGGCATGACAGATTATACGAAAGGTACATTCAGTCAACAGGCTTTTAGTTTCAGCTAAAACATTGCAAACCGATAACCTCAATAGGTAACATTCATTTCTTATTTGGTTTCTTATTCATTTCTTATTTATTCACTTGAAGAAAATCACATTAAGATTGTGGATCACGAAATTGTCCTGTGTGTAACACTGAGCCTGGATTCATGTGCAATTCTTTTTTTTTTTGCATCAGATTTCACAGAGTCTAAGGACTGATTTGCTGAAAAAAGTACAGATATCTATAGTGAAATAAACAAAACAAAAGAACAAATGACCCAGTCCCGTGGTCAACACCACCAGGCCACCACGCTGCTCTGCCAGCAGGTCCTTGCCAACCTCTGTTCTCTGGCTGGCCTCCTCTGCTGAACCTCACATGCTGCTTCATCTTCCAGCCTCGAAGCCCGTCCTCACTTCACTGCTTCTTTTACAAGACAACACTGTGCTAAATTAACATAGCTACAATTGTAAAATAATGAGCTAAGTTACCTTTCTGAAGTCAAAGGCTGAAGAAAGTGTGGAATCTTGTTAGTAAACTCTTGCAGCAGAATTGTGTGGAGAAAAGCAGTTGGCCATCAGCATAATGTTAAACTCATCTGTGTCACTGTTAACGTTGTAGAAGAAATAAAGATGTCGAGTTTTCTTTTTGTGGGTGATAACAAAACCTAGAAAACATCTGTGTTAAAATAATGCAAAATTACTGTTTTGTGATTCACAGGAAAACTATGTTTACTGTAGAATTCACCCGCCAGTGAATTTTGACCATGATGCTTTGCAGATCTACAGCAAAATACTGTATACAGGTTATACAGTAAGCATTTTTTCATTACACAGTAAAATTGGTGTGAAAATTACAGACATTTTTTACAGTGTTGTGTTAAAATGTCATGATGAACGGCCCAACAGAAATGGTCCTTAATTGCTTGAAAAAATCTAGTTACATTAAACATTAACTTATGTTACAAGTTAAGACATTTTATCTTCTCCTGTAAAGTTACCATTTTAGATACAGAAGGTTTTTCTAACAGCAGCAATATAATTTGAACATTGAATGTGAATCTAACAGAATGCAAAACACAGCTCATTGTTCTGTTAACTTACCAATAGAAGTGAACAGTCTTGAGGAGCTCTGTGGTTGGTGTTTTGTTCCCATTCTCTGAAGAAATATTGTTCTTCAAGGGTTCTTTAGTAAAGACTTCTATATAGTACCATGAACACTCAAAACCCTTTGTATGCTTAATTGGTTCTTTGCATAGTAAAGTTTTTCTTCAGGTTGATGGAGAATGGGCTGTATAATGGGCTTTTCAATATGCCACGTGCTAATTCTAAAACAATTAAAGAAGCACTGATGGTGTCTCCTATGAATATTATGTTTTTTATTTATTGAGTAGGCGCTATAAAAGTATTTTCCTAAAATGCAAAAAATAACTGTTTTCTGAATGCTACATTTACAAAACGTTACTTGGACTGAATACCAATACTTAATTTCTGAATTTTGAATATTTATTTCCAGTACTTTTATTTCGTTCCATCTCAAATCTGACATCAAGGCAAAAGGGGGCTACCACACATATACATACATAAAAGCCGCATTGTGTTCAAGATGACACGTCAATGGCGCCGCCGTTTTGGGGAGGTCAATATCATTGCTGGACTTCATTCAGTACCATTACAGGTTTAAAAAGGTAGTGTCCAAATTACACTATTTTGAGAATATTTCACTTAGAAAGTGTGATAGGATTATATAACGGAGAGAACGCAGTGATTTACTCTCATGTTTGTGTGATGTTTATTGTCTGTGTGATGTTTATGAGTAGATATGACTGTGTGGTTAGTGAAGCCCAGATAACCTGATGGTGTGATTGTTTTTCCTCTGGTTTCATATTAAGCTTATTTCATTTAATAGCTTATACATGGGGGCCTTAACTTGATGTAGTAGTTGTTTATTAACAGTGACTGTTAATACTTTGTAGCTAAGTAAAATCCATGTAGATAGCTATAATAGACTAGCACCTTCTTGACATGAAGCTGAAGTCAGATTCTTATTTGCCAGCTTCTCATTCAGATTTTCCCATTCCATCTTAAATGGTGTGGCGGTTACATTCTGGTAAATGATTCTGCACCATTTAAGGTGGAATGGGTTGGAGTTAGGGTCAGAAAAATTAGAAGAAGAAGCTGGCGAATCCAACTTCAGCCTTGTCTTTCTTACTTTGTTTTGGGGGGTTTCTCTTATTTCTATGGGCAAGAAGATTAGAAGTGATTCACACACTGATAGATATGCTGATGTGTGTTTCTACTTGCGCTAAACTTAGGATTTAATGTCAGGTGCAGATTGAATACTCTCCTGTTGCTCCGGATAGCTAATCAGAAATAAAAGCTAACGAGCCCAAGCCACCCAGATAAATCCATGTCTGAGGATTATAACAAAATAAATTTGGTGGAAATCGTTTGAGTAATAAGGAAGTTATGGCTGATTTAATTATAAGAACTCATCATATGTCAATATACGTTTATTTGTTGACAAGCAGCTCTTGACCTCTCCAACATGGCGGATGTACAGACGTATCGCCTCAGATAGAGAACAGACAACATGGCATCTAGGTTTGTATATCTGTGGGGGCTACTAAAGACCCAAACATAGAAAGTTGTTTCGTCATCACTGGTACTGTGTGCAACTGTGACATGTTGCATCGCTGTTTGAAGTCCATGAGTAAACATTAGTGTTGGATTTACGGTAAGGGGTTGGGGTGGGAGTGGGCATTGGGATTGAGAATGGGCTAATATTTAAAGGATTATGTTCGATCAATTTCTCCACTCCAGCCTGTGTCCTGCTGAGAGCTCCCTGCATGTAAGTAGCATTATTTAACTAAACAATAACATCTAACATATAAAATATATTACAATAAACTTACATTCATTTTAACAGCGCTGTGTATTTTCCACAAAATGTAATTAAATATTTGAAAAGTTAAGGTCAGACCGTTTTATTTGATCTTCTGAACAAAATAACACAGTAAATTATGTTATGACTTGAAACAAATAATCCAAATATGAAACATCAAAAATAAAAAGCTCAGCATATTATCACTGTCCAACAAAAGCAAAACATGTATCTCATGTATCTTTCAGCATCATTTGATCTGCTGTATTTTACGGAACAGAAATGGTAAAAAATGACTTCTAAAATATCTAATTACGTTGACTTACGTTAGAAGTAGAAACCATGTTCACCTTCTCCTAAAATACCTAAAATTTTTAATTACATTTTCCTGATCGCTGCTGTTTAACACTGAGAAGAACTTTGACTAGAATATGATATAATCGCGTTCTTGATTACTGTGATGTAATTTTTTATTACTTATTATTTATTGTTGTGATGTAACCTTTGTCATTATTATACATGTTTATCACTATATCTCCAAAATGATAACTTTGCAGGAAAAGAAAAACCTACTTTACTTTTAATGTAAGCCAATGGAACCAGACTTCTTAAAGCAGTCTGGGTCAGTTCTTTTGGTCCATTCTTCATGAAATTTACACACAATGTAAAGAGCAACAGGCAATTTCAAAGTGTGTCAAAAACTGGAAAATGACAAAAATGGAGATACAAGGTTTTCTTCCGACAGCAGCGACATATGAGTGTGCAGTATAAAACAAAACGTATTTCAGTAGTTTCGAGGTGCAAAACTTCAACACTTTACAGGTTTGTTCTTGTGCTCTAAACTGATGACTGCATTGTTGTTCTCACTCTTATCATTTTCACCTTCATTGAGAGTGATGACATCACAATCTAGTCTGTAACGAGTCATCTGGTACCAAAATATAGCCTCACTAACTGCACTACTGTTGTTCAAATACAGAATAAGGGTGTTCTCTCTGTCCAGGAGATAAAATGTGTGGAAAGATCTCTTGCTGTTTCCTGGTTTCCCTCCTGCTGACGGTGTCCTTGGCGGCCCGACATGGTCATGAAGATCATTCAGCAGATCACCATCAACATCTTCACCGTGGCAAAGATGAACCTCACCCCAGCCATCTCAGCTGCAGTAACAAGCCATGATTTCTGCCCTCTAAGGCAAATGGAAAGAGCCTTTTAATGTGGAAGATACCAAAAAAGCTGACTTCCATGTGGATGAGAACACCAATGTGACTGTGGACATGATGGAGAACTAGGAGATGTACAAATTCCATTATGACCGGAATAATTTCACTTCGATCATCATGGTGCCCTACAAAGGCAACACTTCCATGTTGATTGTTCTACCTGATGAGGGAAAAATGCAGGAGCTGGAGAAGAACATCAACAAGGATCGGCTCAAGTACTGGTGTGACAGATTATCTTACAGGTAAGCTCAGCAGCAGACTTTGGGTTTTAGCATTAAAAAGACTTGAAACTCGAATATGTATATATATATATATATATATATATATATATATATATATATATATATATATATATACACTAGTTGGCTTGACAAAGCAAACTTACTGTTCATCATTTCAGTGTTTCAGCATTTAATTTCCCATCGTGCATTGCAGTTATCCAGGTAGAACCACAGAAATTTGCAGGATCATAGAGACTATACAGGAATTGTGCAATTGTGCTCAATCATAAAACATTCATGAATGATGCACAATTAGTTTGTTAATGGCTATTAGTTGGGTTATAAACATTTATAAGCATTTAAAAGCATTAATAAAATGGGCAAAAGTGAGCTGTGACATCTGATAAATATGAATATGTGATGAACCTGACAGGTTTAGTGCTGACTGATGAGGAAGATAAAGTAGGATCACTAAACATTTCAGTCTGAGATTCAACAGTATCAATGAACATGGTTTCCCTATTAGGCAAACAACAGGTCACTGTTGCCCTTTTTATTTATGTTGTAACTTTCAAATGAATAGTGCAAGAATAGCTCATGAATCCTTACAATAACAGGACAATTATGAATTTTGCACAAAGTGACTGTGTTTAAAGGTTCCTCTCTTCTGCTGTGCAGTTATGTGGATCTCTTCATGCCCAAGTTCTCCATCTCTTCCTCCTTTTCACTTGCGGACACTCTGAGGGAAATGGGAATAGTCTCTGCATTCTCAGACACCGCAGACTTCTCCGGGATCAGTGAGGAGACCCAACTGAAGACTTCTAAGGTAGAAGAAACCAAAGACATTACAAGCATTTCCTAAGCTGTTTATAGGCAATTATGTAAATGTGTGACTTCCCCTCAGGTCCTCCATAAGGCCGTCCTCAAAGTTGATGAGAAGGGCACAGACGCAGCTGCTGCCACCACCGTAGAGATTGTACTTACGTCTATGCCACTCACCTTGAAGCTCAACAGACCCTTCCTGGTCTTCATTGTGGATCACAGCACCAAGAGCATCCTCTTCATGGGCAAGATAACCGATCCCACCGCATAGAGGCAGCCAGCTCCCACCCACACCAGCAGACCTAGATGTTTGTTGAAGCACCCTTATTTCAACAAACAGCAGATCGAGCAAAAGCCACACTGTTAAAAACATTTAATGTGAATCTGCATATGAAGATAACAGCGACCAAAGTGTTGGGTTAAATAAAATACAGCATTTTCAATTCATTTATAGTGTTGATGTTTTTGTTGGCCAAACAAAGTGAGTCACATTGTGATCAGGAGTAAATACAGTATGAATAGCATGCTCTTTGAAAATAAAGGTTCTAGAAAGGGTTGTTTGTGCATGCCATCGACAGAACCATGTTTGGTTCCCTAAAGAACAGCAGATTAACAAAAGCCGCACTATTCAATACATTTAACATGAGACTGTGAATGAAGAGAACAGCAAAGTGTAAAAACAGCATTTTCAAAATAACTTACACAGTGGTGATGTTTTTGTCAGCCAAATGAAATCAGACACATTCTGAATTGGAATAAAGGTGTTATGAGTGGCACTAAATTTACACAAGAAAATGACTTTAGCTGTTCAAAAATGTTGGGAACTCAAACAGATCATATCTTAGTAATATTTATACTGACTTATCATGAAGTGTTTTCATACTTGGGCTGTTTCAGGGCGTCAACTGATCTCAGACCACTGAGTCATGGTTTTATGTGTTCATTTAAACACATCAAACAAACTCAGATCCCTCTAAACGGACCCCAAAATGTCCTGAACCCCCAAGGTGGTGTGAGAATGTTCATATATAAGCCTCTTTTATGTAAAAACAATTTTCAGTGCATCCCAATAAAAATCATTTTGGTTTCTTTTTGCCTCCAAATATCTAAAAATGTCAGATTTTCTGCAAGTTTTTACTATTTATGAATCATGTTTACAACAGTTCAGTTTACCATGTCAGGTGGTGTGACCTCAGGTGAACCATGAAAATGAAACTATTATGGATTTATTGTAATAATGTTTATTTATTCATTAGTATAAACTTAAGTTCAAGGACAAAGGTTTATATGGGTGTCTAAGTAGATGCCTGTTTAATTTGAAATTAGTCTGAAAAGTCAGGTGGCTCAAGCAGTAAGTCAAATGATGAAACTAGACTTGGGGAGTTTAATAACTGAAATAGGCAATTAAAAGCTTTGAAAATACTCACTATGTTTGATACAAAATGCAAAAAGATATAAATGCAAATATATATGCAGGTATAAAAAGGCACATCATGTCCTTTTTGATAAGAATATTTTAAATGTAATTTTGGAAAACTTAGTTGTGCCGGTGAAGCAGCACAGCTAATTATTTAATGTTTGTTTTTTATTTTACCAGAGTTTTACCAGAGGTACCCAAACTTTTGCATGCTGCTTTAAGTGTAAAAATATTGGAATGAATGAAATTTATGTATTTATTTTTATTTAACAAATTAATGGAATTTAATATAATGACACTACAAAAGATATTCTGATGTTATATATGCAGTTGTATGCAAAAGTTTGGGCGCCCATGGTCAAATTTCAAGTTTATGCAAGTGTAAATAAGTTAACACATCCTCTACAGAGACACCCATCTGCACAACTGACAATTAATGTTTGCTGAATTAAAAATATTGGGGAACAAATGTGCAAAAATGATGGCATATTTTACATCTTATGTTTCCTTTGTTCCCAATGTGTTAAACAAAGCGAATTAATAGAAATTGTGTACTAAAATGTCTATATATCTATAGAAAGAAAAATAAAAAAAATAACTAACAGCATACGTTAAAGCCAGGTGTCAACAGTCCAGAGCCTGTTAGTCTCGGTTTTTAGATCTGTAGTTGATTGATAGACAGCAGCTTCGCACCAGTGATCCTCTCCTGACCAAATGGGCCAAAAGCAGTTTCACCCTCTGTTTGAGATCTTGCACAATTACGGTTCAAAAGAATTGGAACTGCTATTGATCTGTTCATGGCTGGGTGGATGAGGGAGCTCTTGTGGAATCTACAATCATCTCTAAAGATCATTGAGCTCCAAACTGTTAAAGCTGTATCAGGTCACAAACTGTCTGTATTTCATAGGAGTACTGAAGACCCTAACATAGATTGATGTTGTGTCATCACTTTTGTCTGGTATTGTCTGCAACTGTTACATGTTGCATCACTGTTTGAAGTCCATGAGTAAACAGTAGTGTTGGATTTACGGTAAGAGTTGGAGTGTGTGTGTGTGTGTGGGGGGTGGGGTGAGTAGAGGTGGGCATTGGGGTTAAGAATGGGTTAACATTTAAAGGATTCCATTTGATCAGTTTCTCCACTCCAGCCTGTCTCCTGCTGAGAGCTCCCTGCATGAAAGTAGCATTATTTCATTATACAGCAACTAACACTTAAAATACATTACATTGAAGCTACATTTATTTTAATAACGTTGTATATTTTTCCCAAAATGTAATTAACTATTTGAGAAGTTAAGGTCAGTGGTGGATCTTTTTATTTGATATCTTAAACTTCTGAACTGAATGACACAGTAAATAACGTTATAACTTGAACCAAATGTGAAATACAAGAAATAAGAGGCTTAGTATATTACCATTGTCCAACAAAAGCAAAACAGCTATCTCCATTTTTTTTCGATTTTTATCTTTCTGTATCGTTCAATCTGCTGTGTTTTACATTCTTTCAAAATTTCATCATGAATGGATCAACAGAAATGGTATAACATTTCATTCCATTGACTTACATTTAAAGTAAAGAATATGTTTTGTCTTCTTCAGTAAAACTACCAATTTGGAGATTGAGAGTTCAAATAAGCTCAATCTCTGCTGTTTTACATCGAGAAGAGCTTTGATTAGAAAACCGTATCATCACGTTCTTATTTTTGTGAAGTGTGTTCTCTCTGTCCAGGAGATAAAATGTGTGGAAAGATCTCTTGCTGTTTCCTGGTTTCCCTCCTGCTGACGGTGTCCTTGGCGGCCCGACATGGTCATGAAGATCATTCAGCAGATCACCATCAACATCTTCACCGTGGCAAAGATGAACCTCACCCCAGCCATGATGGAGATGGGGATTTGTCCCACAGACTCGCCCCCCACAATGCTGACTTTGCCTTCTCTGTCTACAAGAAGATGACCTAAGGAAAGAACATCTTCTGCAAAACGTCGGCAAAAACTTCGATGCTGATTCTTT